ATGTGAATATATATATATATATGTGTGTGTGTGTGAAAATGTATACCTATACACCTCATCCAAGATACCTGATGTGTTTTCCATACCTTGGCTGCCATGGTGTCGCAAACATAGAATTAGTATACATAGATATATGTATATACCATATATTATAGCCCCTAGCTCTTACGCCAAAAATCAGCCCCGCAGCGCACCCTTCTGTGAAAATATTGCTTTTATTATTGTCATGACTGTTATTATTGCTGTGCTTATTACTATTGTTATGACTACTATTATTAGACTGAGGACAAGCGGAGTCCAGATTGCTCCAGGGCCTGGCTATGTTACAGTCAGCGCTGAACTGCTTGTTGGAGCAGGCCATCTTACAGCTTTCAGGTTCGTATACTATGATATGATATAGTATAATGCAGTATATAGAGTATATTATAATATACAAGTGCAGAGAGTATTTGGCATCTTTGAGTTCCGGCATGTTTGGCTATGTTTTTCTTGTGCATGACTCCTCTATGCCACTGTGTCTCCATACAAGGGTAGGATTTGCAGAGCCTCCAAATGAACCTTATTGGCTATTAGTAGGGAATACGGGAAATAGATTATGTAGGGATGCTTGTTTTTGGAAGTATATTCCCTTAGTCCCTACTGAACCAGAGTCCGTCACCAGGTGCCAAACTTCTCCTCGATTTTCAGATCTCCTCCACGAAGGTGCCAGTGTGTCTATGTAAAGAAGCTTAAATTGAGTTACCATAAGGGAACCCCATTATTACCATGCATCCGTACTCTCGTGACTTAACTTCCGGAACTGACCTATACTACCCCTATGTAACCCGCAGTGTGGGCTTCATCTTTCAATTTCTTTGCCATTTGGTTCTCCACTCTGGTAACGTCAATTAAGTTACTGAGCAGCAAGCCAGGTGAAGGTAGCAGCAAAGTGGCGACCATGTTTGAGGACGACGGGCTGGCTTGCATTTGCCAAAAGGGCGTTTCTCAGAATAGGGCCCTGGGGACATTAGGGATACTGGGGATTACCATGGCCAAATGGGGGTCCCTAGTATGGATTCTGTAGGGAGAATCTTAAGAGCATAAATGCTTGCTTCATCTCGCTGGGGTTCAAGGATCCGCAAGACAAGGGATTTGAGTTTCACAAGAAAGCAAAACAAGGCTTGCTTTTGGAATCCTTTAGAGGGACTCCAACAATGCTTGTATAATCCCCAGGTCCCTAAACCCTAAATAGTAGTTTCCATTTATTTTCCATTATCCCAATACAACCCAACATACTATAGTAGTTTCCATTATACCAATATAACCCCAATATACTACAGTAGTTTCCATTTTTCCATTATCCCAATATAATCCCAATTGTACTCCCTAGCATCCTTAAGGGCCCCCTGCCGAAAGAGTTGCATCATGGCTGCTTGGGATCAGAGACTGCCCGTTTATCTCCCGCCGATCCAGGAAGGATGGGCCACAGCTGGCTACAGCGGGTGGAGTTGGATGCTTTAGCAGCAGAAGATGACACTTCCTCTTCCGCTGCCAACTATCTAGTTGGATGGCTTACACAGAATTTCTTATCTGTCAAATCTCTTGAAGTATTGAGCCACCAGCCATTGATGTCAAGGCCCTAACGAAGCGGGAGTTCTGCAACCAAGCACAGGGTCAATGCAGCAGCACAGTGCTACTGCCGATCCCTCCTGAGCCAAGGATATCTCAAGGGCCACAACCAGCGCCACATCGATGTGGAGGGTAAGGTGGTTCGAGCTCGATGGAATGACATGGGCGCGTGGCAATCTTTAACCATGAATGTGGTCGCTAGGCCTCACTTGCAGGTTTACATGTGTCTTGCGTAATTTCATTTGCCCTGCTTGGCTGTAAATAAGGAGGGGAAGGAAGCCGGCAAGCCACTCGAAGATGGTGACAAGCTTGCGTTGCAGGCAGGCAGGCAGGCAGGCGACAATGAGGTTTGATTAAGTTAATACAGCCCGACTCCTTCAGCAACTTCCTGGTGCATGGAGATCGCACCGCAAGCGGTTCAGCACAAGTTCACACACCCCTAGGCGGTCACCGGCAAGACGGAGAGCAAGCTCTTGACGCTTGGCTACCCTTAGAAAGCTGAGCATAGGACTGCAGGGAAGGGAGTGCGCCCGCACCACCATGCTTTATGGCAGTTTCAAGCTACGTGGATGCTGACAGTACTCATGCTCAATTGCTGAGCCTAACCCTGGTGCCTTGTATCAGAACTTTTCGCAACATACCCCTGGAGCTTACCCCGACCCTAAAAATAAAATGACATTAAAATGACAATAAATGGTGCTTGCCCCATGAAGCTCCAGATCTGCAGGGTCTCAGGTCAAGATTTGGAGGCCCCATCACCTGAAAATTGAAGAGTTCATGGGATTCTCAGAGACACATCTATGAAAACAAGCAGCCTCCCGGACTGCTGGGACCTACATGAGGCATGCCGGGTAGGGTTGTGGGTTCACGGAAATGGGTTGGAGCTGGGCGGGGCCGCTCCGGAGGTTCGTTTCGAGGGCTGGTTGGCGCCGGCGCGGTGCAGTCAGTTTTCCTTTTGGTGGCCATGGGGGTGGGAGAGCTTACCCCGGGGTAAGCTCGCCCACCCCCATGCTCCGGTGGATCCATTTTAATATCATTTTAATATCATTTTAATGTTTTTTTTGCATTTTATTTTCATTTTATTATCATTTTAATGCAATTTGGCCCTGGCGTGCCAGCCGCGGGGTTGCCGAGTTTTGGGGGGCGCGCGGGGTCAGGCCCCGGCAGGATTTGCGAGCTGGCCGCCGCAGGTTTTGGGGGCCCAGGGTGGATGTGGGGGGGGGCGGTGGCGGGGGTGGTGG